GGACCGGGGTCATACATGCAATCATGGTCAGACAAAACAGAAGTTAATTTCGGGTCAAATATTTTATTAACTGATCTTATTGTTTTTTAGCTTACACGTAAAATAACTTTAAGCTTTTTATAACTCGAGAATTCATGCACAGATATGTTGCGTTCGTCCACTTTTCCTCATCGTCTCTTAGCGACTTGATTTCATGTGGTGGCGGAACAGGGGGGGGGGGGGCATCGGGGCACCGTGCCCCCGTTTGATTTTGGCATTTTAACATTAGCCCTATGGGCGTTGCATGGAAAGAATGGGACCAAAAGTCGGCAGTGCCCCCACTTCATTAAAGGTGTTCCGCCGCCACTGCTTGATTTGACCCTAAAGGCGTCTTACCAGCAACAAAAAAAAAATCGTCTGCGTTATACCTAAATATTTGCCCAAGGGCGCTCTACGCAAGAAACGCCAGCCGGTCAAAAAAACTGGCGAACGAATACGATCTCTCTAGTGCTTGAATTATATTCAACGACAATTTCAGGAGACATAAATAATCTAAATCCTTATAGCTAGGCGCTCGGAGCATTCGCTAGCATTCCATTGCCAGCTGCATTATCAACGCCACATTTGCATTTCTCTGGGTGCATCATAAGTAACAGTAGGTGAACCGGCCACAGCAAAACCATGCCTCATTATCCTTTCCTTCCAAGCTGCCAAGCTAACCGGCCGTCCGGCCCACCACCGCGATATGGAACAACACTGGAGTGCGCCATTTGCCTACGGCAGTGCCCCACCGCGCCGGGGCTGTTTGACAGGTCACCCGCACCGTGACCTAGCCACCCGCCACCCCCCCTCCCCGCCCACCTCCCCATCGGGCCCAGCTCGGTAGTGACCTCTCCTTGAATTTGACATGGACTCGACTAAGGCTCAACGCCATCTAGTTACGTCTGGAGATCCTAATAAGATCCACTGTACATCACAGCTTAACCCTCGCCCGCACATGGGGCGGGCGGGGGTTAAGGGGTTGGTAGAGGGTTGCCACCCCCCCCCCCCCCGGTAGTTTTTTTCTGCACTCAACATTTTTTAAGCTAGAAGCCTGATTTTTCGTATAGCTGCACCTGCTTCGCTATCCTTTCTCAGCGTACACTGAAAATTTCAAGTTTCTGTGGTTTCTGGTTTCGGAGATATGACCTCGTTTTTCAGGTCATGTCATGACCCAAATGACCAATACTCAACATCTTGCGTTGGCTACGGGTCTTGTGAGCTTTTGACACCTGGATTTCGGTATGTTTTTGCTAGTAATACCTCCCATCTACCTATCATGGAACATGTAATTCGACGATGTACAGATGTCAGGGTCAGGGTCAAGGTCAACCTAGCTCATCTAAAAACATTGCATTTTAGGCTTGCTGAATTTAATTTTCGTGATTTTTTTTTTATTGCATTTTTGGTAAAGCTCAGATCATGAACTTATGTAATAGGGGACACACAAACCAATCGGTGCACACATCATTATACACACAGACACACACAGACATACAAACACACATCATTGACCTTGACCTGAAATGACCAGAGCCAGTAAAAACCTAGTCGGAGTGTGACAAAGAGCTGTTCTAGCTGGCTTGGCACCACAAACGGCAGCGCCATCGGTATATGATGGGCACTGCACGTGATATTCCAACGGTGGCCCCAAACATCAACATTTATCCCTCGCCCGTAAACGGTGTTTTGCCACCTTCGCCCATGCAGGGTCGGTTCGCCCATTGGTGCGACCCCCCTGGCGTTTAAAAACGGAGCGTCGTAGAGCTTAGCGGAAAAGACCAACGGATTGCTCTCAACGAGATCTCGCAATTGGTGGTATATTTTTGGTCCTAGGTCAACATTTGACCTACTTATGACCGGTCAAAGGTCAAATTTTCGGAAAAATCTAACTTTTTCAGATTTCCGCGCCGATTGCGGCAAAACGGTAAGAGATATCGACTTGAAACATTCACTATCGTGATCCTTGATCAATTCTCTATCGTTTGGTGTATATTTCGATGTCATAACTCTAAAAATGATGCGTTGGGAGCATCGGAAGTCTGCAAGGTCATTTGTGCATTGGGTCACGTTAGGCGTGTGACGTCACTGACCTGATCCTGACCCAAAATGAACTACTACAAGAAACAACCGACGATGCCTGAAATGGATAGCAAATTCGAATTCAGGGCATCAAAATACCCCGAAAAGGCATACAAGTGCAAGAAGTCATTACAGGTCAACCGAGGTCACTGACCTTACCTTGACCTTTAGTAACCTTCAAAATGTCAACGGACATTGTGCCAATGTCAAATCAGCCAGTTGTGATTCTAAAACAATCCATCAGTGTGTCAGGTCAGTCGGCATTTATACCAATGTGAAGCAATCTCCAATTTAGCGTAAATCTGGCCGGAGGTTGCTCCCTTTATGACGTCATACCTCCGTGACCTGACATGACCTTGACAAAAAAAATACCAAAAGTTGCGCAAAGGATGCCCCAAAGGGTACTGAAAATTTGAGCACGCTATCTGAAACGGTTCGGCGTGTAGCTAAGAAAAACCTCAGGGGGGGGGTTGCACCAACCCCCCCCCCCCCCCCCCTACATGGGCGAGGGTTATAGCTTGACCTGACCTGGAAGGTCAATGATTGACCTAACCCGGCAGGCGGTGGGCCTCCCGGCCACCTTCCGCGCGGTTGGGGGGCATTTTTTGCCCCCCCCCCTTCCGTATCTCCGAAACTACAGGGTGTCCGGAAATTGATTAGCCCTTGGATATTTGGCCATTGCTCCCCTGTGCGCCAACGGAACCAGCGCGATCGAAGTAGGACACGGCCTTAGGGCACGTTCAGCTGTTTGCCGACCACGTGACCGGGTCAGGTGGCCTGGTCACGGCCGCGGTGAGGGGTCAGAGGTCAGTTTCCGAAAAGTAGTGCCAGCGCGCGGAGTCGGTATCTGAGATGGTGAAGGAGTACTCTTTGGCTACGCGCCACGTGCAGTTAGCATGGTGCGCGGCGGCATGACGCAGGCAAGTGTTGCACAGACACTCGGTGTGTCCGTCAGCACCATGAAAATCTGGATGGCTCGAGACCGCCAAGGACAGTCCCTCCGAAACCGGACCGGTCGAGGACGAAAGAGCGTCCTGACCCGCGTGGCGAAAATTGTTCTCGCCAAAGCTGCCCTCAAAAGACGCCAATCGACAAGGAAGTTGGCCAAGAAACTGACAGCCAAAGGACATCCGGTGTCTAAGACAACCGTCCACAGTTATTTGACGAAGTGCCTCCACCTGAAGCCGCTCAAGCCTCGTCGTCAGTCGAAGTTGACAGAAGCTCAAAAGCTCAAGCGGCTGGCGTTCGCGCTGGAGCGCATCAGCTGGACAATCGAAGAGTGGCGACGCGTTCTCTTCAGCGACGAGTCGCCATTCGAGCTGTGCCATCCGCCGAACCGCCAAAACGACCGTGTCTGGGCGCACACCAGCAAAGAAGTGCCCGCCACGGAGACGGTGAAGCATCCCCGAAAAGTGATGGTCTGGGCCATGATGAGCTATCGAGGGCTCTCCGAGCTGCACATCATCCCGCGAGGCCAGACCGTGACGGCGGAATATATGTTGAAGAAGTGCTGAAACAGACGGCATCATCGGCGATGGAGCGGACGACGCAGAACGGGCCGCCAACCAGCGTCAAACTTCTGCCAAGGATGTCAGAGGCAATTTTTCAGCAGGACGGCGCACCAGCTCACAACGCTGCCAGGACTCAGGAGTGGTGCCGGAGCAACCTCCCGGGGTTCTGGAAGAAGGGTGTCTGGCCGGGCAACAGCCCTGATCTGTCGCCCATTGAAAATCTGTGGGCGATCGTGCAGGACGAGCTGGATAAGATGGGGCCGGCCACCAACGAAACGGCGCTGGTGAGAAACCTGCAGAAGGCGTGGTCCAGCATCAGCGCTGAGACGCTGAACAACCTGATGTGCGGGATGCCAGAGCGCATGAGGGAGTGTGTCCGACTTGGCGGAGGATGCATTGGCAAATAAACGATGCGCTTCATTTGATTTGTTTGATAGATACCTACCTAAATGATTAAATACAAGGGCTAATCAATTTCTGGACACCCTGTACTGAACGGATCCGCAAAATTCAAACGGCGTTCGATAGCCCTGTCAAATTTATCAATAGAAACCACATTTAGTTGACCTCAGAGTCACTGATGACGTCACAGGTCAGGTCAAAGATAAAATGTTTCACCGCTCACGGGTCTTCAAGGGAATGCGCTATAACACCGAGTAAAACGCATTTTGTCGAAAATCAGCGATAGGGCGTCAGTTGCCTAGTACATATGTTGCTATTAGAGGTCACTGATAAAAACAGGTCAGGTCACATGTCAGGGCCCTGTTTCACCGGTGATAGCAGCACGCTGCTATCACGTTTCGCGAGCTGACGTCATGTCATGACGCCATACTGCTGACGTTATGGGCAGTTCCGGCACACGATGGCCGCGACCTTGGCTGCGGCATTAAGTGACGTATGAGACTAATAGTAAGAGTTTACGCAGTCATTATAGTATATTTATTTTTATTATATATTTTTCTAAATATGATGTATTTAAAAGAAGTTAGGTTTAAGGAAAATTTGGACGTAAACTTCGAACATTTAGTTGATGACGTAAAACAATATTGCGGCAATCGTGCGCCAGAATTGCCCCTTACGTCAGCAGTATGACGTCATCACATTACGTCAGCTCGCGCAATTTGATAGTGGCGTGCTGCTATCACCGGTGAAACAGGGCCCAGGTCACCAGGGGTCAGTACATGAACCCAACTTTACTAAGGTTGTGCAATGCATGTTTTATGGCCAATTTTTCATTTCCAGCTCAATGGTGTTAATAGCAGCGTGCTGCTGTCACCGGTGAAACAGGGCCCCACTCACAAACAACATTTTTTAGTTACACCCAACCACATGACACGGTGAACCACGTCAGGTTGTTATGCTTTAACTTCCAGTGCGGTTTGTACCTACCGTCCAGGTCACCAGACTGAGATGACACTAGATTCCTGTATTTATATCTTGACGGCTCTTACATCCACCGCAAGCAAATCAAATTGTTGCTTGAAAGTGAAATCTCAATCCAAATATATCACCGATAATGATAAAGCTTGCTCGAGCTGAATCAGAATGTCTCCAGTGTCGATGAAACTATGGGCCTGTTCCAGCGCCTCCAGAAGAAATTCTTGACTGGAGGCTCTACCAGAGGTTTTACTGGAGGCGCTGGAACGCAATCTGGAGATTTCTGGAGATTGGCGTCATAGATACCAAAAGAATGACGATTGTTCTCTCTTGAAACGCAAAATTTGTTTTCAATTTTAGTTAAAAAGATAAATAAAATTATAGCAATGTAATTTTCTTTACATTCAAGTTGTAAAATAATCAGTCAAATGTCCTTTGTTTACATTCGTGATTGTCACATGTGCACCATAATTGTAGACCAGAGCCTCCAGAGAAAGTTGGAGCTCTCAACTCTCTGGAGGCTACTGGAGGTTTCTGGAGCTTTGGCGAGAGCTTTCTGGAGCTTTCTGGAGGCGCTGGAACGCTCTCTGGAGGATTCTAGAGCTTTCTGGAGCTTTCTGGAGGTTTCTGGAGGCGCTGGAACAGGCCCTATTGGTCCACCACCAGTTTCAATCCACTTAACACAAGGACTCCCGGTTAGGGTAATATATTTCCGATTTTCAAATAATACCCTCTCCACAAAATCACGGGAGCAACGCAATACACTCCTATCACAAAGCTCTCCAACAACCAACAACAACCTCCAGCCTTGAGCAGCTTGAGTGGCCATTAGCAAGCAAAGGTAAATTTAGACGTAGGTCATTGATCACGTCGCTTACGTAAATGACGCAGAGAGTGACGTAAACTTTTCATTTACAACAATTTTTCGTCAAAAATGCTCATATATATCTATGAATATGCCAGTTTATGATATAAAATCCTGCACTGCTTGATTAAATGTAGCATATTGTAATCTTGTGCACTCATTATGTCTGCCGAAAAGCATTTTTCGCAACATATACCTATCACAATCAACCGACCGTCGAACATTACATAGAATGCAGCGTTACCGCTGGCGTCTCGCCGGTTTCCCCAGATTCTCACGAAAATTTCCCTATTTTAAAAATCATTTCCCTAGACACGGTTATTTTCATGGAATTTGACGTACAGTACTTGATCCTCATTCTAACCATTCGTGTTATAGTCGCTGCTTCCCAAAACAGCAATTTACTACATTCTGTGACGTTAACGTAAGAGATTCTAATGAAATTGCTGGCATACGAGGTGTGACCAAAAAGAAACGAGACTGTGTCCGCTGAGGACACGGTTCAGCACACACCGATTACCTATACCATAGTGATGCGGAGCATTTCAGCACCATATGAGCGAAGTTTCAATTTTTCTGGCCCATTGTCCTTCTTTCCACGGTCGTTTCTCTAAGCCCCTGCAATACCCCATGTCACAATATGGGTTCTGAACAGACGGGACAAACATCAAGTTCTCAGTGAAACTGGGGAAAACTGCTACAGAAACACTTCCGATGTCAAATTATGTGTATGGAGACGAAGCAATGTCTCCTGCACGAGTGTTCGAGTGGCACAAAAGGTTTGAGAGTGAACGAGATGATGTGGAGGATGACCCGGGTCCCGGAGCCATAACGCCCCACAACATCCAGAAATGAAGAAAACATCCACGAGCCTGACGCACAGCGATCGCAGATGGACAGTAAGGATGCTGGCTGAGGGGCTATGAATGGGAACAGAGTCGGTGAGTACCATCCTGACGGTGGATTTGGGCACGAGGAAGGATTCGCGTGAAGGGGGTGCCCAGTGTTCTCCAATGATCAAAAGGCTCGCTGTGTGGAAGTGACACGGTAGTCTTTGAGCAGCCGGAGGGCAGCCCACAGTGGAACCCAGAGTGAAACATCACCCGTCCTCGCCAGATTGAACACTATGTGACTTCTGGCTATCCCCGAACACCAAGGGCGTCCTCAAGGGATCACTTTTTGAAGAGATTGAGGACATGCAAGAGCACATGACACGGGGCACTGCAGGAGTTTAGAGAAACGACCGTGGAAGGAAGGACAATGGGCCAGAAAAATTGAAACTTCGCTCATATGGTGCTGAAATGCTCCGCATCACTATGGTATAGGTAATCGGTGTGTAGATATTGAACCGTGTCCCTAGCGGACACAGACTCGTTTCTTTTTGGTCACACGCAAATTATTGTACGTGGTATAATATAATTGAGTGGTATATCGCAAATTGTGGTGTGTTGCGACTCGAGACGCGGGAAAGGAAGTGATATGCGCTAGACATTGTAAAAATCACGCCAAAACAAAAACTTTGATGTAAAAAATTAGCCGCACCCGAAATGGTACAAAGCAGCAGTTCGTTTTGAAATAATAGCAAGAATTATATATAACTACATGCATGCATATGTAATTCTCTTTATATCTTTAAAACAAGAGCATCAAACGTTAATTTTGTGAAAAATGTTCTCATATTTTTTGATATGGCATGCGGAAGAATAATTTATGACAATAATGATTTCGATTGTTGAAAAAACAACAATTTTTCGGGTTTGTGGCATTTCCCTAGATTTCGTGTGAAATCCATATATCCCTAGATCTTCGCTGACTTCCATAGAAAAGGGAAATTTCCCTTGCAGCGGTAACCCTGATAGAATGATTCACTACGTACCAAAAGCTCTCACTTTGTGACAATTCTCTGAAGACGTGCTAAATGCGTGTCCAGCAATTTTAACCCGCGCCGGGCCGGTGCTCTGAGATTCCGCGCCAGGGGCGTAGGCAGGGGGGGGGGGGGCCACTGGGCCATGGCCCCCCCCCTTGGGCGCCGAAGGCGCCCTCCAATCGCAAATGCAATTGTGATATAATCGAATCGAAAAACAATCGCGACTGGAGGGCGCCCTCCAATCGCGAATGTGTTTACAGGGAAATACGGATGGAGGGCGCCCTCGGAGGACGCCCATTCCAAATACGCCCTCCAAATACGGTTGGAGGGCTCCCTCGGGCGCCCTCCAACCACATTTGTAGGCTGTAGCTCTCTAAGCGTAACGGTGGTCGCCTATGTAAGCCGCTGTCCTGTAAATAAGCGCCCTCTCACCCGAAGGCGCCCTCCTGTAGGTCGCCACCCTGCTACACATTGCCGCCCTTCTGCTGATCGGCGTCCTCATAATGATTGGCGCTCTCCTACCTATTGCGTCCTCATGTGAAATTTTGAAGGCCGCCTTTCTCCCTTTTGGCACCCTCTTGTTCAGTGCCGCCCTCCTACCTATTGGTTCCCTAGTCCTTCCTGTTGAATGTTAATCGGGGCCCTTCTCCTATTGGCGCCCTCGTGTAGATCGCCGCCCTCCTAACCACTGGCACCCTCCTGTTGATCACCGCCCTCCTATCCACTGGCACCTTCCTGTTGACCAGCGCCCTCCGCACAGACGCCCTCCTGTTCATGTCATCCTCTTGAGCAAAGGCGCCCTCCTCACCATTGCCACCCCCATTTTAATCGTCACCCTTCCGCTCATTGGCGACTTCCAGTTGATGACCGCCCTCCCACCTATTGGCGACCTCTTGTTGATCGCCACCCTCCTATTGGTGCTCTCCTGTTCCTCGCCACCCTCTTACCTGGTGGCGCCCTCCTGTTGATTGTTGATCGGCGCCCTCCTACCTATTGGTGCCCTCCTGTTGATCGCTGCCCTTCTATCCATTGGCGCCCTCCTGCTGCTCGCCAACTTCCTACCTATCGGTGCCCTACTGTCGAAACTCGGGATGTTGATCGGGGCTCTTCTACCTATTAGTGCCCTCCTGTGGATCGCAGCCCTTCTACCTATTGGCAACATCCGTTGATCGCTGCACCCTCCTATCATTTATTTACTCCTTTGGCATGTTTTTCAACTTAGTCGTTCTATTGCACATAGTTGATGTCTTGCCTGTGAAAACTGCCACAAATGAACGTGCATTCAGCACAATGAATGAAGTATCTATACCTACCAAAACTATCTACGCTCTACGATGCATAAAACACGTCTTTGGGATTGATCCTACTTTACGTGCATCATGGCATCTATATGGATTACGATTAAGTATTGTCAACAGGTTCGGGCGCAACAGCAGGCATCTGAAGTTTCGGTGATTGAAACTGGTTATGTGGGTACACTGTATGCATCTGTGAGAAGGCTATGAAGGCTGGTCTGAGGTAATTTGGATGATGTTTACGCATCTCGCGCTCCGGTATCAATCCGATACGGTGATCTGGTGCGTAGATATGCCACCGCCAATAAACTTTTATACATCGACACCCATGAGCCAAGCTTTCTGTACAGTTTGTGTGGCAGCGGCCCGACCAAACCTTAGGTATTTTTTACACCTTCAAATTTGGTAAAAGAGCGAGAGGAGCTTTGAACAGTGATCGCATAAAAGGCGTGCCTAAAAAGCGGAGGAAAAGGTTGTTTTCAAAAATTTCGCGCGCCTTCGGCGCAGCATTTCAAGAACACTTGACCTTTTGTGACCTGGAGTATAAAGAATACACACGATGCAAAATCAATGCAGCACGACCTATACGAGGTTACGCAAAAAAAAAAACTGGTGGCATGGTAAAAAACGCCTCCCAACCCCCCAACCCCCACTGAGCGATTTTTTATCTCGCGACCGTATGGCGCCCTCCTTGGGTGAGGTGGCGCCCTCCAAACCCTTGGCCCCCCCCCCTTCGCGATTTTCTAAATACGCCGCTGTTCCGCGCTGGGCCGGGGGGGGGGGGTGTCTGAACACCCCCCCCCCTTCTAACTCGGCTCCTGGGCCACGTAGCGACACGCGGTAAGCGGCAATTGAAAGAACGTCCAAAATAAGGACGAAATCACTTCGGTCATTTTTTGGGTCAGGTCAAAGGTCAGGCAGGTCACACAAGAGGTCACCAAAGGTAAAATGTTGACTATTTTAACATTTTGGAAACTGCCAACGGCTATCTCGGGAACCGATAGAGCTACAGCGCCGCGGAAAAGTGCATTCGATAGCCCTTTTACAGACCTTTCTGAGTAATGTTCTCAGATTTGACCTCAGGTCAACGGTTTAGCCTCCAGAAGGCAAAAACTCCAAAAATAGCCGTTTTTATGAAAAGCGGTTTTCGGCAATAATTTTTTACTCAAAAGAGCCATGACATTACTTTTACCAGCATCGTGTTCCTCTCGTCGAGACGCGTCGAATGAACAATAATTTGACCTTGAAAGGTCAACTTGAAAATTTGACCTCAGGCCGGTCATGACCTGACCGGAAAAGGTCATATTGCATATCTGTCGATGCGCAACGTCGAGCCGAACACATCTAAAGCGTTTCCAGCGCTCTAGCACGCCTCTATCAGAAGTTACTAGCGAAAAACTGTTAGATTTTTCATTCTGTTCGTTACCTGAGATGACCTCGGGGACATAACTAGGGGTCACAGTTGCCATTTTCCGGTTCAGTGTGTCAACTTTACCTACATCTCGATGTTTGAGAGTGTCTAGAATAGCGTTCGTGCAAAACAGACGCTTTTCAATTTTCTCCCATAATGGAGAGGCCGCAAAATTGACCTGACCTTAGGTCACCGATATCAAAATTCCGAGACATACATTTTATAGATAATGTTGCTCTGATCAATCGCTGAAAGTTTCAAGGCAATCGATCAGTCGGTGTAGCTATGACGAGCATTCTTATTTTTTTCTGAGGTGAGGTCACTTGGCGTGACCTGGTGACCTGACCTAAGGTGACCTGGGTCTGAAATTTTCACAACATGTGCGGAAAAGATGCACGAACAGGTGTGCCAAAAACGGCGGCGCTCCGCGCCGCCGTTTTTTTTAGATATCTGCGAAAAACCGCAGGGGATGTGTTCAAACACCCCCCGGCCCAGCGCGGGTTACTCAAAATGCAATAGCTTTGAGCAGGAGCAACCAAATTATAGCAAAAGTTTCCAAAATTTACCAAATCACACTGAGCTTGTACCGAATAATGTTCAAAGCCTACCATTATTTACTAACTGTAGGTATGCCTACTTTCAATGTAGTGGTTTTCAAATTTGTCAGGAATCTCAAGGTAGGTCGTAGATCCATACATTACCTACCACCTAATCGGTTAGATTTTCGGTCAGAATCTGCTTGAAAGCTTGATCCAGTAACATTGGGCGGGCTGCCCATAGCATTGGGCGCAAGTACCAGCGGACCCAGCCTGGGTATTACCTAGTACCTACCTAGCCCAGCTTAACCCTACTCTACCGTGACCCTACCCTTACCTCCTTTAACCAATTACCTAGCCCAGCCTAACCTCAATAAGTTTGAAGCTCTGTTTGATTAAGCGTCTGAATTTTCCCAACTCTCATTAGATAGGCACCCGAAAGCCAAACGACTCGCTTCTCACTGCGATTCAGTCAGTCGACTTCACGTTAGATAATTAGGTAATGGGTCGGTATTGTAGGTAGGCATCTTTCTGCGACGATCTGTCGACATCTGAATCAGTCGACGATCTGAGCGATCTCGAAGTTGTTAGGGCCTAAACACTGTTCTCGAAAATTGGATAAATGATTCAAAACACTTCCAGAGGGCTTTTGTGAGGCAGGATTAAGTGCGAAGAGAAGCCGTTCCGATACGCTGAACGGCAAGTGTCCGCGGTCCGAACCAGGGGCTGCATAGAGAGGGCTGACCCGAGGCTGTACAGCGGGCCAATGGTTGGCGAGTCGCTGCAGCGCTCACTTCTTTCCCCGACGAGCTCATCTGGTCCCTCTCGCACCTAACTCATCGGCGGGGACAGGTAACGAACGCCGAACACTGAGTGACGCGATCCGGACAGGTGATTAGACTTCACGTTTATTGAAACATGGACAGGTCAAAATCACAGTTTATGTTTTGATAGGGTATTTAATTATACATCGAAAATGTCAGCGAAAAAGTTGATTCTGTACAAACCATGCACACCACGCCGAGAGGCATTCCCATGGCCAATCAGTCACAATGACGTCACGACTCATCCCCTGCTCAGTATCACTACCGATCACCATTTGTCGTACCAAGGCACTCCGAGTGAAGCCAGCACAGGGTCCGATCCGCCCGACCGGGCAGCCAGCCGGGCCAGTCACAGTCCTCAGATTTGAGCACACCGCACAGAAAAGTGTCAAAATCTCGGTACAAACTGTCATCCCACACATACCAGCACCTGATGCAGATCCTGCCAGTCGGGATCTACCAAAACGCTCGACTACATACCCTGTGTGGGCTGCGCATTGTGAAACAGTAGACAGCTCGACCACCGCCGCGCACAACCCGCGCCCTGCGCCGCCCTACGGACTAGACTAACACTAACGACTACACCCGATAACCTGACTAAACCGCTGAGCTCACATTGCACCGAATTCAATTCAAGCGCATAATACTAACGCCAAGGTACTGGGCATCACAATCCAAGCTAGCAAAACGCACGCACAAAACGCAAATACTTCAGAGTGCCCGAGCATGATTGCCGAGAGGAGGACGACGAGGTGTTGGGGCCGCACGGTTCCTATAGTCTGGTTAACATGAAAAACGAAGGAGTCACATCGCCCTACAACATAATTTTGCACTTGTTTCATTACTGCTGATAGCAGCCTGCCTTGCGAGAAATTGTCTCAGGCGCATGGGATTTAATAATGTAATATCTACAGGGCAGGCACGTGCACTAACAGCTGCTTCGCTTTAAACCCCTGCTTACGTTTGGCAGACTATAGCATACAGCTTTGGCAGCCACTTGTAGACCCTGTACGACGCGGGGCGAAGAAGGGATCAGCCGGTGGGATACTCGATGGGATCAGTGGAACAGTAATTGACCGACGCAGATGTTCGATGGACGCCAACCCCGTCAGTCTTTGGTGAAACCAAAAAAGCGATATCACCCTCCCGACATTGTGCTGGGACCCACTGTGTGATGGCACATCACTCCGTCTGGCCCGGAATCAATCCATCCGAGAACCTGCAATAGCCGCTGTCAGCACGGTGCCGCTGCTGGGGAAGATAATTTTAATAACAAATTTAATAGGATAACACGCACACTTTACGCTGTTGTGTACCGAGTTGTGTACTGAGTCACTGAATACTGTGTCACTAAGCTTGGCTGAGCCTTCAGCCGTAAACCCTTCATCGACTGAGGGGGCCGTACCCCCCCCCCCCCCCCGATTGTCTCCGAAACTGAGAAGCAAAGCAATATGCGCTGGAAAATTGTCACCGAGAAACGCCCTAAGCAATCCGGAAAATTGTGATTCTGAGCCCAGGTGCCAGGGCAAAGCCAAGTCAAGGGTCGAAATCTAGCATGTTTGCGTTCGGGAGCTCTAGTGAACGCAGTAGCGAAGATATCAAACCAAATTTCGGCTTGTATACTAACAAATGTTTCAGAGCTCTTCTGTTGTTTATTGGGACTTTGGCAGAAGAGCTGAACATCCATGGCTGAACTCATACTGACTTTTCTCACTGCAGTTTGGCAGTTTACGGTAAAGGTTAGGTCAAGGACATGTAAAAAGACAAATTTTTAACTTTGTTATTTCAACAAAAAAGGTGTCTTACAGTTGTAGACTAAGCTCGGCAATACAATTGTGCCATTCGTTTTTTTCTTTTTCTGTACGATGCTTATAATTCTCAAAAGTAGTATTTAAAAGGTACGTCATCATTGTGCCACAATATTGATACAAGTATTCTATTTGATGGTCCAATTCTGAGATATTTTGTTAAAATTTTGCAGAGTGAATGTTTTAAACATTTAAGCCGTTTAATATAAATTCCATCTTTAATTCCAAAGAAAAGTGGACTTTATCTACACATCTCAAAACATTCCGATATACCCGGTTACAATTTACTGTCAAAACTGAGGTGGCCATTTTGTAGAGCTATATACACTTCCGAAGCCGTAAAAAGTCTTAGACAGAGAACATGATAAGTTAAGCCACTTCTCGACCGAAAATGTGCATTGACGTGACAATCCGTCACGACCTAAAAAAAAAATGTCGACAAAACCAGACCATTTTTACAGATACGGTGCAATTGATGTAGAGGCTACAAAAGTCCAAGGCTGTTACAAAATTAGTTCTCGAGTCATCGTGAGGAGTCGGCAGCGGGGGGGGGACGGGGGGGAGGGGCGTTAAACAGCCCTCTCAGTCGATGGCGTAGCAAATCGAACTTCTTTTTCACGCTTAGTTCACCCGGCCAATACGGAGACGAAGCGCGTCCCTCCTACCGCTCGGCCGGTTAGCAGAGTTGGCCCACATGACAGACTCGGAGCAATGCCATATGAAGCACTCGGGGACCCCGGCAGCGGCGATTCGGATCGCATTTAACCTATGTCACGCACGTGCTGAAGGAGAAAAAGACTACAATCACCCTGTTGGCCCTGGCATTAGCGTGATTGTACCATCCCTTATGAATCTCGTTTTAGTATTGCTCATCCAGTATTCAGTGTCGTCTCGGATTTTGGCGCGGCGTGACCCTGTTCCGATTGTTGACTCCGGCGCTCATGTGATTTCTCGATGGCAGCACTGAGTACCCCTCTCCCTCTCCCCCCCCCCCCCCCAGCGTTCTCCCGCGGCGGCGGCTCGGTCTGACGCCCCGACCCGTTCCTCTCTACCCGCACCTGACTACCCGCCACTGCGCCCCTCGGCGCCAGTGCCTACCCCCCCCCCCCCGTCACAGTCGCGCGCGCGCGCGCGCCGTCCGACCACAGATCCAGCCGCAGAGCCGCGCGGCCCGCCGCGCCGCCTACACCCGTGTCCTACAAGCAGTCTGCGTGACGTGAAGTCAGGCAGCACCTACGTGAGTATCACAAGTCTCGGATGTGAACCTCGCTAATCCCTCGCGGACTACCCTACCAAGCAGCCCGCATTGCCCAGATAGGCTGGACTAGCAGCACACTCTGAAGAGTGGTGGACAGAGGACGAGCCAGCCACGCCATACGGCCGGGCCGCCTTTTCTCTGGGCATACAGAGTGCCGGGTGCCCCGCCCGCGCGCCGCCGGGCGCTCCCCAACCCGGGCCAGCCGGCGACGCTCACACCTTCAGGTCGGCGCCGTTCTCGGCCACCTCAGCGGCGGGCTGCGGGCTGCCACCGAGCAGCGGCGAGCCGTCAGCCGGCAGCAGCTCGGTCGGCGGCTGGCTCACCGGGACCTCGGCGGGCTCCGCCGCGACCTCGGCGGGCACCGCGGCCGACCCGTTCACCGCCGCCGCCGCCGGGCGGCGGCCCGCCGTCAGCGCGTACGCCGTGAAGAAGCACCACCTGACGGACCAGCCGGGAGCCAATCAGCACCCACAGGCGCGGACGTCATACATGTCACGGTGAGATTGCACCTAGTTACGGACTTTATACCAGTATTTGTGTTAGATTTTAGCTTAGAAGTTAAAAAGAAAGACTTACATCGGGGTGTAAAACAAACGACAGCAAAGATTGTGCGTTTCATAGCTATGATTAGCGTCACTACACTGGCTACAATAGTAGCCTTGACGTTTGTGTATCAAACGTCACCTTGAGTAAGATGTCATCTTTTCACTGGACACCACATAGTGTCTTGCGGTTTTCATTTCACACACAGCCTGCACATGGGTACTGGCCGCCGTTCTGGGCCCCTCCCTGGCCGCCGGCTCAGCCCGTCCACCCGCTGCCCCCTCTCCGCCCAACCGACCGGTGCCCTCCCCCCCAGCCGCCCACCCGACCGGTGCCCTGCCAGTCGCTCACCCGATGATCCAGAACAGGTAGGAGAGGATGATGAGCAGGCCGAAGTGGCTGGCGCGCGGCACGCCCACCACCAGCAGACACTTGGCCGTGTCCATGGTCATGTTGAGCGAGCTCTGGACGCCCGAGACGGCGCCGCGCCGCCACTCGGGCACCCGCTCCTGGAGCAGCTGCGTGACGCTCAGGTCGCTGATCCACAGACCTGTCACACACCGTCACATATTCTGACCGTTACACACTGGCACACACAGACCGTCGCAGACCTGTCATGACACAGTCACATCTGACCGTCACACACAGCTCAGGTCGCTGATCCACAGACCTGTCACACACCGTCACATCTGACCGTCACACACAGCTCAGGTCGCTGATCCACACACCTGTCACACACCTGTCACACACCGTCACATCTGACCGTCATACACACAGACCGTCGCAGACCTGTCACAGACAGATCGTCACACAGTCACGTTTGACCTTTAATGACCTCAGTCCAAATTTTCGACACGTGTGGAAAACATGTCTACGTTATGCCTACGTCATGCCTACTTTTTCGATATTCATTACTATTTTCGATATTTCGAAAAACCCATAGATTGCGTTCAGACACTTTAGGCACGTAGTGCGATAACCATATTGAGCGACAGTAGCTGGGCTGCCCAATGCTAACTGAAATTATGCTCTCCGGTGTTCTCGACTCCCCGGCACGCCACTCACCCACACGCCTCCACTCCGTCTCAGTTAATCGCTCTGCCCCGTCCCACCCGGTCCCACCCGGGGTCTCAACCACCACCGAGGTGCCCCTCCCCCTCCCCCACCGGAACGGGCTGTCCCCCGCCACCCACCGAAGCGGGCCAGTATGATTCCGCAGAAGAGTGTGATGACGGAGGTGCGCGCCTCGGAGTCGGGCTCTGCCAGCGGCCAGAACGCCGTGCCCGGCAGGAACACCGAGGTCAGGCTGAGCGACTGCGCCAGCACCGCCAGACTGAAGCCCACCACGCCGGCGCGCTGCAGGAGGCGGGCGGGGGAGGGGGCGTCACAGGCGGCGGGGGGGGGGGGAGGGGTGTCACAGGCGGCGGCGGCGGGGGGGGGGGGCGTCAGAGGCAGCGCAGCGGCTGCAGGGGGGGGGGAGGCAGCCAGAGGTGAGCCTTACCGAGAGAGTCAACTCTTAGCTGAAGAATATTCATTCAATATACCCGTAAAGAAATGCAAAGCAACATTCCTTCAGCTTGTGATGTATTACCAAAACCCGTCAAATAGCCGCCACACCATCTCTATGTAGCTATGCTGCACGCGCCGCACTGTGCCGCGTAGGAGAGGTAGGTCGCTGACCATCAGCCCCATTGAGGTGACGCCAGTTGGGGTAGTAGCTCACTGGGTGGCGCAGTTTGGGGTAGTAGCTCACCGTGGGTCCCAGCGAGCGGCGCAGTTTGGGGTAGTAGCTCACCGTTGGTCCCAGCGAGCGGCGCAGTTTGGGGTAGTAGCTCACCGTGGGTCCCAGCGAGCGGCGCAGTTTGGGGTAGTAGCTCACCGTGGGTCCCAGCGAGCGGCGCAGTTTGGGGCAGTAGCTCACCGTGGGTCCCAGCGAGCGGCGCAGTTTGGGGCAGTAGCTCACCGTGGGTCCCAGCGAGCGGCGCAGTTTGGGGTAGTAGCTCACTGGGTGGCGCAGTTTGGGGTAGTAGCTCACCGTGGGTCCCAGCGAGCGGCGCAGTTTGGGGTAGCGGCCCCACTGAGTGGCGTAGTTTGGGGTAGTAGCTCACCGTGGGTCCCAGCGAGCGGCGCAGTTTGGGGTAGCGGCTCACCGTGGGTCCCAGCGAGCGGCGCAGTTTGGGGTAGTAGCTCACCGTGGGTCCCAGCGAGCGGCGCAGTTTGGGGTAGCACAGCGAGCCCAGGATACCGGTGAAGGCGCCGGCACCCGTCAGCAGGCTCAGCGTGGACTCGGTCAGACCCTGAGTGTAGCCGTACCCTGGGGATAAGGGGTGCATAAGGTCAGAACCTGAGTATAGCCGTACCCTGGGGGGTGAGGGGTGCATAAGGTCAGAATCTGAGAGTAGCCGTACCCTGGGGGGGTGGGGGCGAGGGGTGCATAAGGTCAGAATCTGAGAGTAGCCGTACCCTGGGGGCGAGGTGTGGAGACGGTCAGACTTGAGTATAGCCGTACCCTGGGGGCGAGGGGTGAATAACGCCAGAATCTGAGAGTAGCCGTACCCTGCAGAGTGGGGTGAGGGAGGGGAGGGAGGAGCAGAGGGTCACCCCTTGAGGCCAGTCGAGGGTATCTCCACAGCAGGGCAGCAGACAGAGTCCAAAGCTGCACAATAACGCAGCGGGTCGGGGAGCAGGGGAGACGGCGCAGCCACCGGACCGCTACCATCACTGAGTAGCAGACAGGAAGACGAACACTGGCGGCACAGTGTCGTCGCCCCCTCCGGCCCCGCCCCGTCCACCGGCGCCGTCCGTCCACCCACCTGCCGTGATGTTATCGAAGCCGAGCACGGTCATGTAGAGGCTGGCCAGCGCCAGGCCGGCCAGGCAGAAGTCAGAGTGGAAGTAGACGGTCCAGCCGCGGCGCAGGTCGGCCAGGCGGACTCGCAGCCAGCCGCAGCAGCCGCCCGCCGGGGCAGACGCAGAGACCGACGGCGAGCGCGGCCGCAGCACAGACGGTAGCAGGCTGGGAGGCAGACAGGGTGCGGGCGGTCAGACAGGCTGAGGGACAGGCAGCGGCAGTCAGACAGACACTGAGACAGACAGCGGCGGTCAGACAGACACACTGAGACAGATAGGGGCGGTCAGACAGACACACTGAGACAGACAGCGGCGGTCAGACAGACACACTGAGACAGACAGCGGCGGTCAGACAGACACACTGAGACAGATAGGGGCGGTCAGACAGACACACTGAGACAGATAGGGGCGGTCAGACAGACACACTGAGACAGACAGGGGCGGTCAGACAGACACACTGAGACAGATAGGGGCGGTCAGACAGACACACTGAGACAGATAGGGGCGGTCAGACAGACACACTGAGACAGATAGGGGCGGTCAGACAGACACACTGAGACAGATAGGGGCGGTCAGACAGACACACTGAGACAGACAGCGGCGGTCAGACAGACACACTGAGTCTGAGACAGACAGGGGCGGTCAGACAGACACACTGAGACAGATAGGGGCGGTCAGACAGACACACTGAGACAGATAGGGGCGGTCAGACAGACACACTGAGACAGATAGGGGCGGTCAGACAGACACACTGAGACAGATAGGGGCGGTCAGACAGACACACTGAGACAGACAGGGGCGGTCAGACAGACACACTGAGACAGATAGGGGCGGTCAGACAGACACACTGAGACAGATAGGGGCGGTCAGACAGACACACTGAGACAGATAGGGGCGGTCAGACAGACACACTGAGACAGATAGGGGCGGTCAGACAGACACACTGAGACAGACAGGGGCGGTCAGACAGACACACTGAGACAGATAGGGGCGGTCAGACAGACACACTGAGACAGATAGGGGCGGTCAGACAGACACACTGAGACAGATAGGGGCGGTCAGACAGACGCACTGAGACAGATAGGGGCGGTCAGACAGACACACTGAGACAGATAGGGGCGGTCAGACAGACACACTGAGACAGATAGGGGCGGTCAGACAGACACACTGAGACAGATAGGGGCGGTCAGACAGACACACTGAGACAGATAGGGGCGGTCAGACAGACACACTGAGACAGACAGGGGCGGTCAGACAGACACACTGAGACAGATAGGGGCGGTCAGACAGACACACTGAGACAGACAGGGGCGGTCAGACAGACACACTGAGACAGATAGGGGCGGTCAGACAGACACACTGAGACAGATAGGGGCGGTCAGACAGACACACTGAGACAGATAGGGGCGGTCAGACAGACACACTGAGACAGATAGGGGCGGTCAGACAGACACACTGAGACAGATAGGGGCGGTCAGACAGACACACTGAGACAGACAGGGGGCGGTCAGACAGACACACTGAGACAGATAGGGGCGGTCAGACAGACGCACTGAGACAGATAGGGGCGGTCAGACAGACACACTGAGACAGATAGGGGCGGTCAGACAGACACACTGAGACAGATAGGGGCGGTCAGACAGACACACTGAGACAGATAGGGGCGGTCAGACAGACGCACTGAGACAGATAGGGGCGGTCAGACAGACACACTGAGACAGATAGGGGCGGTCAGACAGACACACTGAGACAGATAGGGGCGGTCAGACAGACACACTGAGACAGATAGGGGCGGTCAGACAGACACACTGAGACAGACAGGGGGCGGTCATACAGACACACTGAGAGCTCACCTGGTGTCGGCAGTCGGCCCCCGCTGGCCGTCGGCCGTCTGCCCCAGTTCGCCGTCAGCCGTCGGTCCCCGCTGGTCGTCGCTGGGCGGCGGCTCGGCCGGTGCCGCCGGCTCGGTTGTCCCGTCGGCCGCCGCTGTGATGTGGGCGCCCTTTTCGGCGGCCGGCGACTGGTCGGGCGAGTCGGGCCGCTTGGGCCGGGCCAGCTGCGGCACCCCGCTGTACACGCGGCGCAGCAGCCAGTACTCGACTACCAGCGAGAGCACGTTCCAGCCGGCCATGAAGCCGGCGGCCGCCACCGGCGAGAGGAACGTCATCAGCTGCCCGACCAGCACCGGCGCCAGGATGTACGTGCCCAGGTCGATGGTGCGGAACGCCGAGTTCATCCCTGGCGGAGCGGGCCGTCAGAAACTGCGGGGGGGGACGGAACAGCAGGCCCTGCCGCGCCCCTGAACCCAAAAAAGACGGAACACACAGCCAGCAGCGCCGCCCCGCACCAGAGAACACTCGAGCTGCGGAGTCTGTCCATCCCAACTGTGCCTACCCTGCCCTCCACCCGACTCACAGGCGAGCGTGTCCCGGTCTCCCTGCCCCCCACCCGACTCACAGGCGAGCTTGTCCCGGTCTCCCTGCCCCCCCACCCGACTCACAGGCGAGCGTGTCCCGGTCTCCGTGCCCCCCTGCCCCACCCTCCACCCGACTCACAGGCGAGCGTGTCTCGGTCTCCCTGCCCTGCCCTCCACCCGACTCACAGGCGAGCGTGTCCTGGTCTCCCTGCGCCATAACCACCACCCAGTCCTTCTGGATGGTGATCTTGTTGGCCTCGGAGGCGAGCGCGGCCACGTCAGCGATCAGAATCACCAGCACCTGCCGGCAGATATCAGCCGTCAGAATCACCAGCGGCCAGAATCACCGGTCAGAGTCGCCAGCACCTGCTGTCAGCGGTCAGAATGTTGGAAGTGAACATGCTTGACGCTCTCAGCAGTGGCTGGCTGCGAACGACAGCTGGTGGAGGGAAGGGTTCCATTTAGTGTACGAGTGGCCACACCCGCAGGCTCACATTATGAGCTGGTACAAGAAAATTACCACCGTAGGTTGGCTAACTACGATAACAGTTTGCCGAATGCACATAGCCAGGTATTTTGGTCCAGGGGCCTCAGGACTACATAGGAGGCCCGGCGCAGACGGCTCCGGGGCTGGCTACCGGCGCGTGGGCCGGGCCGCTGACCTGCAGTAGGATCTGCAGCCAGCCGCGCCCGGTGCTGGCCGTAAACTCGGCGTACTGCAGGCTGACCATCAGCAGCACGGCGCAGCAGCAGACGGCGCAGTTCTGCACCAGCAGCGACAGCTGCGCCGCTGTCGGCAGCGGGGGGAGGGGGGATGTCAGCGACGGAGCCGACCGAACACATACAGACAGTCTGAGTCTGACACACGGTCACCGGGAGAGAGGGGGGAGGCAGAGACGGCGCCGAACAGTGACCAGTGACCCTCCCTCTGTACTATAGTTCGTTTTTTTTTCAAAAGGACTCTGACTCCAAGTACGTTTTTCGTAAAAGCACGCGTTTTAGCGAGCAAAACGAGCAAAAACTGAACCTGAGAAACTCGAACGCCGCCTTATTTTTACATGTGAAGTATTCCCAATAATTTCCATACGTGCATTTTGGAACCAGGTATGAGAACAGTGGTGACGTCATGCTGTCCAACTTGTATTGCAATGTAACGTATAACTATCATGGACGAAACCGCTTACTCGATTATAACCTCGGCAACAGTGAAAAACGAAGTTTTCCCCGAATTCGTCGAAACTTTGTCCCATCGTTGATCGTACGGACATTGGGTGCCTGCTGCCACCAGTGACGTCATCATAGTATGCTAATTTTTCAAGACACAATTTCCAGGTACTTACCGTGCACAATTTGAAATCGAATATTTTTTCGGTAAGAAATTCTTGGCCAGACGCTGAAGCTGCCAAAACTCACGTGAGAGCTTCGATAAGGAACTTGGAGCCAGCGTCCTTTTGAAAAAAAAAAACGAACTATAGCCCTCCCTCACCTCTGACCCACCCAGTGACCCCTCCCTCACCTCTGAGCCTCGCCGTGGTGTCCACCCAGCGACCGACAGAGGCGCCCAGCGCGATCACTGACGTGGAGATGACCAGGCCGTAGATGGCGGTCAGTCGGAGGGAGTCCGGAGTGGCGTACACCATGTACAGGCCGACGGCGAACGTCCACATGCGGTCGCCCCAGGCGGACAGGCTGGCCACCAGGTACATGGTGTGGCGGGGCCGCCAGCGGGGAGCCATGGTGGCAGGCCGCGGGACTGGCGTACGCTGACACCGAGCTGGCGGAGTCAGGGGGTGAAATCCAGGTCACTCCAGGTCCCGTCACCAGGTTATGATCAGTGAGCAAACTTTAAAGTTGTTGCAGTTTGTCTTTAAACTTTAAAGACAAACTGCTTGTCACAGCTACACTGACTGATTGCTTTGAAGCTTTCAGCAATTGATAAGAATGACAGGAAAGTGGATGTATATAGGTACATATGCTCAGATTTTTGCTCTATGTGAAATGAGTTCAGTATAAAGGAATTAACATTTTTCGGCGAGATTATGATTATAGCTGCATTAAGAATCAATGATAACCTTTTGCCAATGACCAAATGAGGCCGAAAAATCACTTGGTGCTGGATTTTCTACAGTAGAATCATTCCACTGAATCATTCTGGTTCAATCATTCCACTAAAGAAAGTCCAGCAATGAAAACATATTTCATTTTTTCAACCTCTTTTAGTTAAGAGCAGAGGCACTCTTGTTGCAACATCAGGTCAGGTCAATTTTGTGACCTGACTATTGTGAGTCAATGGGGGAAACTGAACTACATCTTTTGGATAAGGGCTATTCTTAATAAGCACTCTAAAACATTATAAAACAAATTGATTTTCCATATTATCTAGAAAATTGCACCAAAACCTTTTCAGATTAGATCATAACATTGATCTAGGCCAAATTTTCAAACTAGCTTGTTAAGGTGACCATCCCACCCTGTGTTGAGTTGAGAATTGAGATAGTGAAATTGGGGTCCCTGCCTTGCAATTAGGTACTGATTTGTTGGGTAGGTAGGATTCACAACATTGAGAAATGCCTTAAATTGGAAACATTTAATTTTCAGTCTGCATCACTTAAATTCAGAGGGGCTAATGCATTTGAATGCCCCCTCTGGCTTTGTTAGGTCAGCACAGCTTCAGCGAATTTAAAATATTGTACTAAAACCTCTGTAAAAGACAAAAATTGTTGTGGTAGTAACTACAGGGTGTCCAGAAAAAAAAAATACTACGGAAAGTAAGTCGCATTCATTAAAGGGACCCTCCCACCTTCAAAAAAGTTAATGAATTGGCATGAAAGTGATGTCGCTCGGTTCAGAAAGAGCAAAAATGAATATCTACCAAATTTCATCGAAAAATATTCACCGGTTTTCAAGATATTAGACTTTTACTTTTGTTTACTTTTTGGGATCTCCGCTGTTCCTAGCGACTTTATTTGAAAGTGCGGCATTTGTTGCGCGCAAAGCAGCATATACCACCGCGTGCTGCCAAACGTTTTAGTAAACGATTTAAAAATCGTTAGATCTTCGCTGACGTCACAAATTCTAAGGGGGCATACCAATGCATTAGCCCCTTAGAATCCGAAAACTGCAAGTTTGAAATTCCATATCTCCGAATTAAAGCATTTTTCGATGTTGTGAATGCCCAAACCGGTATTTTCAGGCCATGGCCACAAATTTGGCTATCTCAACTCAAAACTAATGCTAAGGTGGGAGGGTCCCTTTAACGCACGTGCCGATTTTGTTCCAACTTCATGCGCTTATAGTGCAAGATTTAGCAAAACTCATGAGCACTGTAATGCGTCGTTGGAAAGTTGTCTGGCTGCCCTCCGAGATGGTCAACATGACCATCAGTCACCTGCAGACCGTGCTAGTGCTGGGGGCTGATCCGCCGTAAGGCCGCTCACATTGAGTATCTGCTTTGAGGAGCTGCCGCTACTAACCAAAGAGTTAACATGCCATGTGGCACCTGCTGTCTGTTTTGCCATATTTTTGCGAATTCAAGCATGTGCCATTTTAAATTGTAAGGTGTCTATTTTCGGAATTACAGCAAAAATAATAGGTAGTATCCGTTTTTCTGGACACCCTGTATATATTGCCTTGCGTGCGACATTTGTAGCACCTACTTTCAAGATACCAAATTATTGCTCCCAAATGGCATCACAGGAACTGCATAGGAGGCCCTAAAAGTAAACAAAAATAACTGTAATATTTTCAAAAAGCAGTGGATACTTTTGGTGAAATTGGGTAGATAACCATATTCTTCACTCCTTCTGAACCATGGTACATCACTTTTACTCCAATTCATTATGGAGCGAGCGAAGCGAGCGGAGTCTTTCCTTAGATTAAAGGGACCATCCCACCTTAACATTAGTTTTGAGTTGAGATAGCCAAGTTTGCGGCCAGGCTCAGAAACCACCATTTATCCTGGTCGCAACCCCCGCAGCTTTATGGTGTTCAAGAAATTTCTTCCCTTTACTTGCAGGGTGGGACCAGCTTAGTCCCTATCTCTTAACCATTAGCGGTTTGTTGATGACGTCAGCAGTCATTTCAACGCCCGCCATTCCTTGAACCCGAGTTTTGCTGACCTTGAGCTCCCTTTTTTATCATCGTGAAATCCGTCGTCGGCGCTGAGAAAGCCTATTGCTTTTCATTTTAATTTGAATATTAGATGATACCCACCACTGGAACTTGGACTGATATTATACCAAGGCCGAAGATGATCAAGCTGCCTGCTATATCTGGAGCTTGGTGTTCAACTTCAACATGGAATGAAAAACAAAATATCAAAGCAAACTGGATATGGTACTGCAAGTTTAAGTCCAAAGAAATTTGAAGAGCTGACAATTGACATTAATTCTTTTCCCGCAAGGTTTCCATAGGAGATCACACCATGAAGAAATATTTTTGATGTTAACAGTTGAAAGGGGATTGATCTTCCAGTTTTGACGAAAGACGCTGCTGACTGTCTTTGGAAAAGGATGTCGGCATGAGGTGCAATTGTGCTTGTGAAGTGGTTATAACTGGTCTTTTCACAGTGTTAAATTAAATGTGCCATTGCAGCCAAGTGTGTTATCATGTAAGGTAAAATCAAAACTACAATGTTGGTTTTACGAGCATTGAGAAGGCTGGTAGGTAACACCTGCCTGTGCTCGTAAATCATGCTGCCAAAGTATTCTAAATTAATTTTATCATACACTTTTGTTGTCCAGAATGGTTGCACTATTGTTTGGTATCATATTATTCCATGTACAGTCTGTCTTAAAAGTACCGCGCAAAGTGGCGGTGGATCCATCAAGCCTGACCGAGAAAGGTCTGCTTTAATTTGAAAGTCACCGAACCAATTGAGCTGGGGAATGGACGAGGATGTCCATTGCTTCGGTGACCCAAATTTAGCAGGCCCTTCCTCAGTCAGGCTCGATGGATCCACCGCCACTTTGCGCGGTACTTTTAAGACAGACTGTACATATGGTAGTGTTACGTCCGACCAACATGTTACCAGATTTGAAGCTGTTACGTTACCTAAGTACCTAGGTACCTGTTTTTTTACTGGCGTGGTGAATGTCACCTGGATTTTGTTTTGAGGTGCAGACCTAGTAACTCTGACTACATGGGTTTGAAGCTATTATCTATTCTGTTTTTACTGGCCTGGTGAATGGCGACTGATGTTGTCCGTGGATGGCACTGAAACAAATTTTGAGTGTCAACTGCCATGTACAGTGTTTTAATACAATGCTGAGGGCTGAAAGTTGTCTTGTTTAGAGTGGTGAAAGTTCAGGATATGCCAGCCACCATGGTGGGTCAGAGTTAATGTGTTGCAGTCAGTTCGGCTTCGGCAAGCACACGGATGGGCATACGCATCAAGACCTGCTCTGCCATACTTTCAGCCAATTTTACCTAGGCAAGTCTTTTCTTTTTTTTCTGCCAAAAGCTATGACATTGTGAATTTCAGTGCTGTGGCCTGTGTGTAGCTTTCAGGAAAGCAATTCTAAATAAAGCTCTGATAAAGTGCATGAAATCAGCAATGCAGCCCTCTATTACATTTTCTACATCTTACTTGTTCCTTGCATTGAGAGAAAAATGCAATGTTATGAATTCGTTTATTCACATAATTTGACAAGCATGCAGTTACCTGCTACTATCACTGCACAAAACAGAGCAGAAAACATCAGTTGATCAAACACAAGACACAACAGAAGTTTACAACATAGGCCTGCCGAACCTGCTTCCTCCCACCACAGTTGATGCCATTTCCTAGCCTGGCTTGATGTGAGCACTGAATAGCTGCTTTGTCTAATTACAGCTCACTACCATTCAACTTAAACTACTCTCTTTAAAGTAAGAGTGAGAGCGTTCAGTGTTCATAGCAGCTCGACAGACGACAGACAACAAACATCTTGACAAACCAACCAGTATTTGATTTGGCTAATGATTTATGTGCCTGTTGTATCATGGCCAAACTACTTTAACAGCAATAATCCCTGTTTCATCTTGATCTTGCTTTTAATTCCATTTGAACTCAGATCTTGAAACAATCATCTGAAGTGATATCAGATACTGGCTTCTGTTTCTCTTGAAAGCAAGTTAAAACAACAATGATAAACTAAGGCAGGAGATGTGAGTTGTGGCAGTAGATTTTTGATTCAACATATGTCAACCTTATATTGCTTGAGACCTCTGTGACAGACAAACAAATATTTATAGTTTTTCGATAGTTTGGATTCTTGGCTTGATTTTGCAGATCAGCTGTGAACCTTGACTTTGAAATCACATAAATGTCATGGTACCCGAACGAATCCTCGCATGACATTTCTTCGTCCGCATTTCTTCGTCTACAAATCTTCGTCGGTGCATTTATTTGTCCATCAATGCTTACTCTTGCATATATTTGCGTTGAAGAAGAAATGCGAGCCGATTTTCATATACACTGATGCGAGACAAAGTAATGCGATACGAATAAATGCCCTGACGAAGATTTGCAGACGAAGAATTGCGATACGAAAAAATGCCATAAGAAGAATTGTCCTGGAATCCTTTGTTGGCCATCATATATTGACCTTGATAAGATAAACGCATCATTCGCGCAATATTTGTCGCACTTTGATACCAAATTATTGCTTCCAAATGCCGACGTAAAGAAAACCTTTATGTGACGTCATAGAAACAGCGGAGTTCCCAAAAAGTAAACAAAAATAAAAGTCTTATATCTCGAAAACGGTTGAATATTTTCCGGTAAAATTTGGTAGATGTTCATTTTCGCTCTTTGTGATTCACGCTACATCACTTTTATGCCAATTCATTAACTTTTTTGAAGGTGGGAGGGTCCCTTTAACGGAAATATTGAGCATGAGCGGCCGGCCAGCCGTGCAGACGCTTTTGCAAGGCTTATATCTCAGCAACCACTTGACCGATTTACACGCGGTAATTTTTGTAGGGTAGCTTTATTCCTTCTACCAAGTATTGGACTATTGCCGATGTATGTGGGTGACCCCTTATGCACGTGCCACGTGCAAAACGAAGAGGTGTCAGTTTTGTAATTGTTGCAATATCTCGATAACTACTTGGCCGATTGCGCTGAAAGTTGGCATGTAGGTAGGCACCCACTAGGTACTGCACATCCATGTGCCAGAGTTGGGGTGCTGCTGCACGTGCGCATGTGCAGGGGTCATTTCCAGATCTCAAGAACTAAGCGCAGATCTAACTATTTTAAATCTTTTACGAAAACATTTGGTAGCACACGGTGGTATATGCTGCTTTGCGTGCAACAAGTGCTGCACTTTCAAATAAAGTCGCTAGGAACAGCAGATATTCCAAAAAGTAAACAAAAGTAAAAGCCTAATATCTTGAAAACCGGTGAATATTTTTCGGTGAAATTTGGAATCGATACCTAGATATTCGTTTTCGCTCTTTCTGAACTGAGCGACATCACTTAAATGCCAATTCATTAACTTTTTTGAAGGTGGGAGGGTCCCTTGAACAGGTGACAACCAAAGTGGGGCATTTTTAAACACCCGTAATGTAAAATGCCGTTCGCATAGGTCTTGCCAAAGCTCACTATCCAACATCAGAATGCTTTGTGTATTATTTTGTTAAAAAGTCAGAAGATTAGACTTTAACAAAATACCTTATCATAATGGCACGTGGTGAAATGACTAGCGGTCACACACCGTTTTTCCATAGGGGGATGGGGAGGGGCGTTTTGGACGGTTCTCCCCTACCAATACGGGGGTGTTCAAAACACCGCCCTCCCTGGCCCGTCGGGAGCGGCGCCGAGCCCAAGCCGGCGCGGGTAAATATATAAGATCGGTGCCGAATATTCACAATACTTACTTCCCACGATCCTCTCACCACCCCTTCCACAGCCCACAAGATCTCCGCCACACACCCACAGGCCCCCGCCGGAATGGCGCCGTCCGTTGTACACTGCGCAGGGTCATAGATGGCGTTGCCTGCCGTCCGGAGCATGCGTTGTGCACGTGGTGCATCCCAAGGCCGTATGGCGCCCTTGGACCTCAGAGGTCACAGGCATGTTTTTAGTTATGAATTAGCACAGGAAAATTGTTGAAGTTAACCTGGAAAATAATTTTCCATTCTTAAATCAGAGAGAATTCAGAATTTATCCATGGTTATCTATTTTGTCCATGGAGTACTTCAATAAATGACAGCAATATGGGCTATTTTAATAATATCACGTGACTTTGCGGTGCACCCACACCATAACAGTTGTTTTCTGCTGAAGTCCAAAGTTCATCGGTCAGATCGGTCATCGCATACATACCGGCGGTCAGGTTGGGAGTCGGAATCGGAGAGGTGGGAGTCGCCGTGTCTGACTGGAGGCTGGAGCCGAGCGGCGTGGCGCAGCCAGGGAGGGTGAAAGGGGTGAGATCTCACCCCCGTCTCTGATCCTAGGGGCCCACCGTCGATTTGAACTGTAACGTTATGCAGCCTGACAATTATTTTTTATCACTAATGTCAGGGTCCGTCATAGGACTGAAAAACAGTTTTCAGGCCTGATAGACCCCCCCCTTTAGGATTTATAGTCCCATTTTATGATTAAAGGGGGTACACCCAAGGCCCGATTGAACTAATCCAAAGCCTAGGAGGGCCCGTTCCATAGCATGAGAGGGCCATTTCAGCAGGCCTGAGAGGGCCCATTTCAGGTCTGTGAGGGCCCATTTCAGGCCTGAAGGGGCCCAGTTGAAGCTTGAGAGGGCCCATATCAGGCCATAGAGGGCCTGTTTGAGGCTTTAGAGGGGCCCATTTCAGGCCTGAGATGGCCCATTTGATGCCTGTGAGGGCCCATTTCAGGCCTGAAGGGGTCCATTTCAGGCCCTAGAGGGCATGTTTGAGGCCTGATAGGGCCCATTTCAGGCCTGAGAGGGGCCCATTTCAAGCTTGAGAGGGCCCATCCCATGCCCTAGAGGGCCTGTTTAAGGCCAGAGAGGGCCCGTTTGAGGCCAGAGAGGGCCCGTTTGAGGCCAGAGAGGGCCCGTTTGACGCCAGAGAGGGCCCGTTTGAGGCCAGAGAGGGCCCGTTTGACGCCAGAGAGGGCCCGTTTGAGGCCTGAGAGGGGCCCATTTCAGGCATAAGAGGCACCATTTCAGACCTAAGAAGGCCCAGTTACGGTATGAGGGGGCCCTTTTTCGACATGATAGGGACCATTTCCGGGCTGAGGGGCCCATTTCAGGTCTGAGAGAGCCCATTTCAGGCCCTTGAGGTCATATTTGAGGCCTGAGAGGTGCCCGTTTGAGGTCTGAGAGGGCTAATGTCAGGCCTGAGAGGGCCCATTTCAGGCCCTAGAGGACCTATTTGAGGCCTGAGAGGGTCCACTTCAGGCCTGAGAGGGGCCCATTTCAGGTCTGAGAGGGCCCAGTTCAGGCCTGAGAAGACTTATCCCAGGAATGAAAGGATCATCCTATGTGTGGGAGAGTCCGTACTCCGTGCCTGGTCTGGGTCTGAGAGGGCCTATCCCAATCCTGATTGAGCCGATATCATGCTTGATAAAGGTCAACTCACCACATGTATATTGATGGCCCAGTTCATGTCTAATGGGCCCATCTCAAGACTCAAGAGATTTTATGGTTCAGGAAGCCTACCCCAAGCGTGAGGGGGCCCATAGAGGTTTTTGAGGCTCATGAAGGTCCCGCAGTACGATATGTCAGCCTCTGAGAAAGCCATGCAGGGCCCTTAAGATGCCAAGCCGACATCTGAAAATTCCTCTTCTCTTCAGGCCTGTGCCTGCCTCACCGACCGGCCCCACCCTGACGTCTAGGGGTTCGACGCCAAGGTATTCATCAGGACTCCACACCGGTCCATGATGGCTCCAAACTGACAGCTGAGGCTCCTGCACAAGCTTTTGAGGGGCCCACCGACCTCTGATAGCCACCACGCAGGTCTCAAAAGACGATGTCGATTGTTGATATCTAAACCCCCAAGTCAATTTATTTATTTATTTATTTATTAAACATCATCAGATCGATCACTATAAAGCAGGGCTTTTCTCCGATCATCGTCATAACAGTACGAAACACATGAAGATGACAAGTAAACTAAGATCACAGTGGCGCAATACAATGACAGTAGGTAAATATCCTACCCGACGGTACCACTCAGTCGCTTGGAAGGCCTGTGCTCTATGCAGATTCTTGAGGGCTTTACGTGGGCTTGTAAACATCCCGAACTGGCTCTAGCCTAGCTCGACCGCGCCCCGCAGAGCAGGGCCCCAGGCTTTCCAGTTTTACGCCCCTGAGGGGTGTTTGAATATTCCCTTCTAACCTGACTCCAGGGTCACGTAGCGACAAGTGCGGCGGTAGGCGGCTTTCTAAAGAGCGTCGAAAATCATGGATAAATTACTTCAGTCATGTTGCAGTTCAGACCAAAGCCCACGTCATCATGTTCATCGAAGGAAAAGTTTCGCCTATTTCGACACTCGAGGACACATAAAGCTATAGCGCGCTGAAAGTGGGTTCGATAGCTCTCTAACTCGTGCAATCAGCCATGGGGGGGGGGGGCGTATCGGCCAAACCCGATCATAATTTAACCCTATTAGTGGCAGGCTCCTGGCTACCCCTATTACATAGTGGCAGGGGGGGGGGGGGGCTGTTTACGACCCCGCTTGATATCTCGAGATCTAATGGGCCGATTTTCAAAATTCAAACGGCATTCGATTTCGCTCAACGTAATCTACATTTCTAAAAAATAAAAACTAAAAAATGTCAACAGGGGGGTAGAGGGGGGTAAAAACAGGCAAATTGCAGATACATTTTAGACTGTTTATCACGGCCAGGTTTCTGAACCAATCTTAACGCAACTTTTGCCGATCGATAGAGAATGAACCAGGAATTCACATGGATCCTAAAAATATGCATTTTCAAAAATCATAGGCGGATACAGATCATTGAGATTGGGGGTACACAAAAAGTATAGTAAATAAGGTTTTTGTTGGTACTGTTTCTAAAAAGGGTGGTAATGGTCTTGTTATGTTACAATTTTCTTATGAGAGAACGACTACAATTGTATTGGTCATGCATAGGCGGTGTCAGGGTACCTATGTTGGGAGGTAAAACATAACCCCCTTTTTGGACGCCTGGATCCGCCTATTATAGCAAAAACGTGTCAAAAGAGGATGCACAATAACTGTATATGTTATCACATGATACCTTTCATTCACTGTTCGTAAAACTGGTGCAGCATCGTGATCTTCGCCCAAATGACTCGCTTCACGAATAGGACCCCCCAATTCCCAGTGCTCTGGAGCCGCCCCTGGTAAAGTTATGAACTTGAAATTTTCAGGGAATGTGCCCAATTTAGTTTTAGGAAAAGTCAGAAAAGTTCAGCATCGTAGCTTCAGCGGTTTCGGAGATATTCCCGAAAAACCTGAGGGGTGGATAAAAACAACCCCCCTGCCACTAATAGGGTTAAGAAGGCTAGAAAGACGAGAAAAGCAACAGATAGCTGTAAGATGCTTCAGAATTGTGGAGGTCATTTTTTCGATTAGGGGTCATCGCTGAGGTCATTGAAGATGAAATTATGATAAAATTATGATAAACACAAAGACAAGATTACGACGAAAAAATTCTTGTTTTTATATTTTCACAAATAACCGTATAACTCGTGAACCAAAGAGCTTCGCGGAACAACTCATTTGATAGGCCTTTCAAACGCTTTCGCTTTTAAGATTTGACCTCAATGCCCCATGTCGATGGTTTGGCAACAGAGCAGAGGGCAAAACCATCTAAATAGTCGCATTTTACCAAAATAGTTTTGCTAAGAATTTTCGCAAGAACTTTGGTGAGAAAAATTATGAGACATTTACTTTGTCATCATTCTCTCGTTAACATGCATCGAATGTTAACACCTATAATTTCACATAAAAAGTTCAACTTCAAAATGTGACCGCAGATTAAGGTCATGCCCTTACTTGAAAAGTTCATGATAGTCATCAACTGATCCGTATGGATGATTAACACCTTCAAGACAATTTCATTACTCTACCTCTCCTATGTCAAAATAATAGTCGGAAAACTGATGTTGAGCTTTTTAAAAGATTTTTGACCTAGTCCGACCATTTGAGTGGCCGCTAGCCATCAATTGCACGCTGTCCATCAAATATGGGTAGAATGGTCGTGTTTCTGTAAATATGCTGTTGTTTTTTACGTGCCTCTTCAGATCAAAAGATATTTGTCCTTTCCCCGATTTGGCTGGTAATGATCAGGACAATGATCTGACCTTTCGTTGTTGGTAAGGGGCCCCCATTAGGTTGAGGGGGGGGCCACTTTGCTGGGGGGTAGAGCACTTCACGGATAGGCTTTTTAGGATCCGGCCCGGCCCATATCCGGCAAGTCATATCCAGATCCGCCCATTATCCGCCTTTCTTTGAATATCAGAATCCGGCCCACCCATGGCCCGTATTGCAGCCAAACTTCCAAAAAATATCCGTAATAATCCGTTTCACCAATAACTGGTTTCACCCAAAACTGGACTAACAAATTCAATCTAAGGGACCAGACAGCCATACATCTCACAGACCATCATGGTTCCAAAAACCATGCTTATAAACCTACTACTACTACTATTACTTTAATCAAACCTCTGCTGCCATGAGGTTAATTTTTAACTTCAATGTTGAATGTTAAAATTTTGATCCGTTTTGATCCGGGTTCAACCTTCAATTCCCAAATCCGGCCCGCCCATATCCGTTCTTTTTTAACAAATTTAGAATCCAATCCAATCCGGTCCGCGGATTTATCCGTGGATAACGGATTTATCCGGCCCATGAAGTGCTCTACTGGGGGGCCCATCGCGAACGTCTCTCACCCCCGTCCCCAGAGTTCTGGCTGCGCCACTGGCCGAGCCGAATTTGGAGCAGGTACTGTCTTGGTGTCAACGATCATCTCTGGAGTCGGAGTCAAGCAATTGCAATGG